CACAACTAGTGTCATATATTTCCACAGGGCGACGCTTATGTGGTATTGTAGAAAGTCTTCAATGGATGGACCTTTCGCGGTAGTTGGTATTATTGTTGAATTGAGATATTGCAGAACTGAAATGTTCCCAGCAATTCCTACAGTAGATGACTCCATTACGTTGTTATAAATGAAACTAACAGTGTCAGTAGCGGTTGATGTTTTGATTTCAGAATTAATAAATGTTATCCAGCTTTTATAGAAGTAATAATTTTTTTGAAAACTAACTAGTATATACTATTAATAGGGGTTCATTGGATACTTTAATATCAATAATGCAAGTATTTTTCTCAATTACTTAATTTTGAAATAAAAACTACCTGATTAATAGGGGCATAATTTCTAAACAGGGAGGCTGATTTGGATCGGTTCTTCCATATGAAGCCTTCATACATGTTATAAGAGACCAGTTGCTTACCCTACTCTCACACCAAACTAGTTTTCACTACGTTCTCGAAAACGGGCTTCAACTGTGTAGGAAAGGACTTGACGTATTTAGAATCGTTTGGGGTCTATTTACAAACTTCATCGAACGTGCTCGAATGGGTAGGTCCTCTAGAAATTACCCTACTATCACACCAAACTAGTTCTCACTATGTTCTCGAAAACGGGATTAAACTGTGCACGAACGGATTTGACGTACTAAGAACCCACTAAGAACCGTTTGGGATCTGTTTACAAACTTCATGAAACTACTAGAACGAGTAGGTCCTCCAGCACTTAGAGCATGCTCAAAATTTTCTGGTGATCGTCAAAACGTTGCCGAATCGGTTTTAAACTGTGTGCGAACTGAATGAACGTAGCTACAACGTTCTACGGTCTGTTTACGAACTTCATGGACTTTCCCGGACGGGGTATGTGATTTAGAATTTTGAATCGATTCAAAATTCGATGGCGACCATACCGTTCTGTAATCAGGTCATGATGACCTTCTAGACTAAGTGACAGTTTATACTACGTTGCACACCGACGTGGTGCGACCTGAACGAACTGCGAGATGGACGTATTGAAGACTGTTTATGAACGAAGTAGCTAATTATTTCAGATATATATTCCGACCGCAGCCAGATTGAGCCCGTTTTACGACATTTTCGTAGAACTGGCAAGAACGGGTAAGAACTATTTTGGTGTGATAGGGGGTTACTCTACTATCACACCAAACTAGTTCTCACTACGTTCTCGAAAACGGGCTTAAACTGTGCACGAACGGATTTGACGTACTAAGAACCCACTAAGAACCGTTTGGGATCTGTTTACAAACTTCATGAAACTACAAGAACGAGTAGGTCCTCCGGCACTTAGAGCATGCTCAAAATTTTCTGGTGATCGTCAAAACGTTGCCGAATCGGTTTTAGACTGTGTGCGAACTAAATGAATGTAGCTACAACGTTCTACGGTCTGTTTACGAACTTCATGGACTTTCCCGGACGGGGTACGTGATTTAGAATTTTGAATCGATTCAAAATTTGATGGCGACCATACCGTTCTGTAATCAGGTCATGATGACCTTCTAGACTAAGGGACGGTTTATACTACGTTGCACACCGACGTGGTGCGACCTGGACGAACTGCGAATGAGATGGACGTATTGAAGACTGTTTATGAACGAAGTAGCTAATTATTTTAGACATATATCCCGACCGCAGCCAGATTGAGCCCGTTTTACGACATTTTCGTAGGACTAGCAAGAACGGGTAAGAATTAGTTTGGTGTGATAGGGGGGTTAGAACATGCTCAAAATGTTCTCGTGGTCGATACGTTCTACAATTAGAACGAGTGACAACGAACTAACGACGAGCTGGACGTACTACGAACGGAACTGTCGTACTTAGACATATTCCTAACCACAGACAGATTGAGCTCGTTTTACGACGTTTTCGTAGGGCTGGCAAGAACGGGTAAGAACTAGGTTGGTGTGATAGGGGGGTTACCCTACTATCACACCAAACAAGTTCCCACTTCGTTTTCAAAAATGGGCTTAAACTGTGTATGAACGTACTGAGAACCGTTTAGGGTCTATTTACAAACGTCATGAATGTACTCAAACGAGTAGGTCCCCTTGAACTCAGAGCATGCTCAAAACGTTTTGATGGTCGTCACGTTCTGTAATTAGAACGAGTGACAAAGTACCTGATACGGGCTGGAGTACTACGAACGGAATTGTTGTACTTCAATCCTAGAAGGGACGTTTTTAGAACGAGTTGAATTATTCGGCGACGTATTGAGAACGAGGTAGAACTGATTGCAAGCGGGTTTAAACTGATTAAGGACGTACTAAAGACTGCATATGAATTACTGTTAGTAAAAACATAGCCATTATACCAGTTGCCACTACGTTCTTAAAAACGTTGCCGAACTAGTTTTAAACTATGTGCAAACGGAATGAACGTAGCTGCAACTTCCTGCGGCCTATTTATGAAGTTTATGGACGTACTCGGACGGGGAGGTGATTTAGAATCGATTTAGAATTCGATAGCGACCATGCCGTTCAGTAATTAATTAGATCTGTGACAACGTACCTTCAAACGATATGACTACCAACGTAATTTCCGTACTTCGAACCTACAAGGGACGCGTTAGGATATCAATTGCAGTACGTGAACACAGCGACACGCGCACGGTACGACCTGAACGAACTGAGAATGAGATGGACGTATTGAATACTGTTTGTGAACAAAGTAGTCAATTATTTTTGACATATTTTCCGACCACAGCCAGATTTAGCCCGTTTTACGGATTTTTGTAAGACTTACTGTTAGAACTAGTTTGGTGTGATAAGAGGTTACTGCTTTTGTATTTTTTAAAAATTTATTTCCCCTTGTGTTCCTTTAATTCTCTTTCGTTTGCACACTTGACAATGTATTCATCGTTTTATTCCATTATCTTTATTCCCAGCAAATTAATTCCTCAACTCATTAAAGTTAGCTTCTAAATAAAATATATGAATATAATATCAAATGACAAATTAAAATGAATAAAAGAATAAAATAAAAACACGTTTGCAATAATGGTGAAAATATTAAAATCAAAACTTTGCAACAATCATTATATATTGACTTCAGGTTTCATAGTTATTGTAAACCACAAATGGTGATTTTGAATCGTATTTGGTAACTTCCCTAGAACTGGTAACCTTGATTTCTCCCTCATTTCCGAGCAATAGTTCGTTCAGTGCATTAAAATTGACGACAAAACATTGACGTACCCTGGGAGTATGCCTGGGAGCCTGCCTGAGAGCCAGTCCACCTTGATAACTATCTAGTGTATGCATCCATGCACTTATATTGTGTCCATCTTTGATTGCAGGTAGGGAGAAATTGTGTTTAGTTGAGGCTCCTCAATACCTGATTTTGATTGGAACGATTAAGGCATTCTACTCACGGTTGATTGGTTCGTTTGGCTTGAGTTCGACGGAACATGTTGTTTTAATTTCTTTCACAAAATAGCTCTCGCAGCGAATCTCTAAATTTTTTTCCACTCAGGCAGTACATGACGAAGTTCAAAGCGCTATTAGAATACATTATCGTGGTAAGCCACGCCCTCTCTATCCTTCTGGAGAGCATCTGCGATGCAACAGAGAGAGATGCTATGAGTATCAGAATGATGCACAACGGGCTCAATGAGTTTTTGTCTTGCTTTGTCGGCTAACATAGGGAACTGTTTGAACTCTGAAGGAATTACGACGTCGAGTATTACAATAGGGGAGGTAAAGCAGAGGAACAGAAAGGATATCATCACGAGCATAATTGTCATAGATCGTGTCGTGTCGTCCTGTTTCGAACTTGTCGCGTTCATTTGATTCTTCCGGCGTGTGGCTGCTTTGACCAAATGGATGACGATAAAAGTGTTGGAAACGAGTAAAACTGTGAAGGGAACGAATGAAGCGACAGACGCATGGATCCAAGGCCAGCAGTATTTCAGATGTAGTTCGTCAACTCCCTCCAGGTAAACGCAATTGTTGGAAACTTCCTTTCCATTCCAAATGAAATCCCGCTGACCCAATGTGAACATCAAATGTCAGTTCAGTCCAACAAGGAAAAGAGTAATAATGCAGATGACGATTTTCCTTTTCTTTTTGGTGCAGATCGAATTTGATCTCAGGGGTAAGTAGACGAGAATGACTCTATCAATAGTAAGCGAAGAACACGTGAATCTTGCACGTCCATTCATGTGTTTGCCATCTATTATAGGCAAACATGATACGAGCCCAGTGTCGCCCTAGACCAACGATGAGAACTCCCGTGTCGAATATCGCCAATGCAGCCAGATATATGGACGAGGAGGTTTTATTCATACTTGTAAATTGCAAGAAATGTTACAACGTTACCGGTCAGTCCAAATATGATAATGACCAGTGTCATATATTTCCACAGGGTGACGCCTACAGTATTTGGTATTCCAGAAAGTCTTCAATGGATTGAATTTTCACGGTAATTGGTATAATTGTTGAATTGAGATATTGCCGAACTGAAGTGTCCGGCAATTCTTACAGTAGATGGATGACTCCATCACGATGATTGAAATGCAAATAGCAGCGTTTGTAGTTTTTCGACTGATTTCAGAATAATTTAGAGTTTGATAGTAGTGTCATTCCCCGACACGCAGCCCTGATAAAACAATTATATTTTTCGAAACCCAACGACAAGGTTTTATTAATATTATTAATAAAAATGTTTCTATGTTGTATCTTATTTTCTACAAAACATTTACATAAACCACATATATGGGGGCTACATATACGGGCGAGGTTTAATATTTTTTGTGATGCAAAATTAATGATATTTAATATACATTCGAAGTTCTCAGTCGTTAGAACCTTCCCCATAATGATTTATTGTAACATTAAAGCATATATACCATGACAATGGCAACTTATAATGGAAATGATGCAGCCCTTTTAACTACAAAAGCAGACAAGACAGCAGAAGCTGTTACAGATGAATCGACTCCAATAAGTGACACAAATACAACAAATACTAAGAGGCGAACGATAGTAGTGGAGCCTGCAGTATTCTTATATTATCTAGCCTTTTTTTCACACTTTATCCTTTTAAAGCAGTATGTCTATTACAAGGTCGGGAGTGAGTATAGTAACAGTGATAACTACACACAAGAGGAAACGCAATGTAATACAGCCAATGCAACGACGGCGGAAGTTGAGTTACGAGTCACAATACAAGCAAATGCCTCGAGATGGATGCTGTACTTGCATATGTCTGTATTGGCCCCTCAGTTTATAATGGCGCTTGTATTAGGCGCTTACTCGGACAGAGGAGGTCGGAAAATCACCATCCTATTTTCAATAGTAGGAACATGTTTGAATTGTATATCTAATGTCATCTTTATTTATTTAGACTTGGGTATTAAGTATTGGATATTAGGCGGTGTAATCCAGGGAATATCTGGAGGTGCATCTTCTTTTACTAATACAAGTTTTGCCTACATTGCCGACACGGTGGCACCCGCTGAAAGATCGTTTAGAATGACTGTAGTTACTGCAGTGTATGGTGTGTCCGGGGTAGTTTCCCAAATAGGAATTGGGTACTGGATAAACTATGTTATTTACCTTCTTTCTGGTTCATATCCTGCGTTCACATTACTAACATCTTCTATGTCATTTTCTTCGTTCGCGAATCAAACCAACAAAATACGAACGGCAATTTTAATCCATTTCGGGACTTACAGAATGCCGCTATGTTGTTTTACAAGACGGATGCACCAGGACGAAACTGGAAGCTATTGGCATTACTTATCACATTTGCGTTAGGAACTATGGTTAATTCTGGGAAAGATGATGTTATGGTTCTCTTTGCGCTAAATAGACCATTGTGTTGGAATTCAATCATCATTGGCTACTTCACTGCAACGTATGCCCTGTTACTGACCGTTGGGTCGATACTCGGAATTAAGCTCTTTGGAAGATGTTTAACCGATGGAGGAATAGCAATATTGGCAGTCGGGATAGTCACAGTAATGAATGCCTTCCAAGCGTTTGTCAGTAACACCACAATGATGTTTCTAGGTAAAGCAATATTATACAGAACGGGACCATCCTCCATCAATTATTACTTACACTTATGCTAATGTGCCTTATCCTACACTCAGTGTACTATATGACTGATTGTACATAATAACATCAAAAAATAAATTTTATATCTATTGGCAAAATGAATAACCGGAGGATATCGCTACGATATACTCCTGAAAACCAATATGCGGAGGATATCGTGACGATATACTCCGGGGAAACCAATATGTGGAGGATATCGTGACGATATACTCCGCTTGTTGATTTCCTGCCAAATTGAATTATTTGACATGAAATTTATTTTTCAATGATATTAAACATTTAGTACACTACTAGTAAGTGTAGGATAATAAGAACATCCTATGACTTTTTTAGAATATCATTTTAATCTACTCGGTGATATTGATATATGCACTCGTTCAATTCGCTCTCTCGTGCAGATATCAATATCACCTCGTACATGTAGATAAAAATGATATTCCTCAAAATCATAGGATATCCCATAAATATCCCCTTTGTTCTCTTGAATTAATTACAATATGATGATACACAGAGAGTGTCACATTGTTTTTTTAGTTCCTGTAATAGGGATGTTTGGAACGATGTTTCTGCCCTTAATACAATCAATCATGTCTAAAACGGTACTAGAAGATGAGCAGGGAGCCTTGTTCGCTGTGATTGGGAGCATAGAAACGGCCACTATCCTCGGCAGCATCTCACTCTTCAACATGATATATGCAGGCACCGTACATTGGTTCGCTGGATTCGTATTCTTAGTTACGACAGGAATCAGCCTGTCAGCTCTAGCAACGTACTGGTGAGTTTCACATGTTAAAAGGAATTTAAGCACTGTCAAATAACAGCGCGGAGACGTTGACAAAATATAACACCTTATGATTTATAGATGAATAAACCCCTTCTTCGCATGCTTAAAGGAATCATAAATATCGCTTACCATCCCTCACCTCTTGTTTTAAGGTATATTCCAGAGATTTCTGAATTTCCATGCATTGCAGAAAAGTATTAACCGTCAAATAAGAATCTAAGTACATTTATGTAATTTCCATCACCCCTCACATACTGCTGTACGAATATAATCGGTGTAGATATCACGTGCGCACGGTGCGGACTTTAACTGTCATTATTTAAATTGAATTTGTGATATTTCATAAACTAAGGCATGTTGGGTACTCAATTATATTCATCCAATTGTAGAGGATACCCAATAAAAGGAAAATTTTTTGTGTACAGTTGTGTACTTCATTTTTTAATGATGTACTAATCATTCATCCTTTCTCCATATCAAAGAATTTGAATCACTCAGTATTGGTGATTGAAATGACCTATCGATATAAATTATTTCTGCATTTTGAAAGTCATAAACTCTCTGTATGTATTTTTAAAAATTGAAAACATCGAATATGTGGTACTTCTAAACAAGCGGTGCGGATATACGTCACTATACCTTTTTGTACAGCACTGTCTGCATAGGGTGAAAATATTCATATAATTTGAATTCGCTGACCAAAATTAACATGAAAATTATGTGTGAAATATTTTTCGATCTTCCAGTATCTACGTTAGGATATCAGGCATACAACTAATGACTTCGAAACAGAAAGACAGAATCCCACTTCTTCCCGACTAACCTCATATCAATAATGAATTAAAGTAACACTTGCATTAGGAGCTGTGAAATACAGTCATGGTGGAAACAAGACACATGCCAGGGACAGGGTCGAAGTCGACTTTTTCAATAAATATTCGAACGTGAAGAATAGTTATTGAAATCTTCTATTAGCAGTGGCTTACAGTCCCGGCGGACACGAAACACGTGTCAGACAAAAATATAATTTTTCCTTCTTCAACTCAATGTCTGAAGAAACGAGAATTTTTTCTCAAATGCCAACATAGTCACGTATACGAAATCAACACATAAATAAACTGGAAATGGAGGGAAGAGTCCATTGCATTTAACATGACAATAATATTCAAATCCATTTCCACATAGTGACAAGTGTAATTTTTACCAACCACCATCCACAAAAAAATTGGAGACAATATGACACAACTTGCGGTTGTACCATAACAATATCACACATCGATTGAAAATAGTTATAGAATACTTCTTGGAGCAGTATGCATGAGTACTCTTTACAGAATTTCTGATCCACTTGTACCACGCCCACTTTCTTCTATTTCCAGGGGGTATATTGAAAATATAAGATAGTATCCAGTAATTATCACACTGCTTTAATAAATGTTTTCACAAAGGTTGAAAATCTGCATTATGACAAAATTACCCTCACATTTCTCAATTTCTCTATCTTTTACATGATATAGTTATTAAGTGAATATCGTACAGTCCTGTGTATTTATGTTTAAAAAATTGACATTGTGTCCATTGTATCAGATATTCCGATTCTAAAATCATTTTCCTGAAAATCAAATTGAATGTGAGAACTCTCCAAGACAAATAGTGAGAAATGTTACAGAATCAAGAACGATGGAAGTAGTCAACGCAAAAGCCGAAGTCGAGGACACGTCATTGAAATTGGTTTACAAAGCATTACCAATTTTCAAGTATTGAAGTTTGCCATTTAGACAAGTGCACAAAACATGGTGATTTATCGAGAAAGAGAAACTGTCATCGTGCAACAAATTGCCTTTAAATAAAAATATCTCAAACAATTATTTTTCCACTTTAGCTCTTCGACATTTTATGGTGCCTATTGGTTAACAGATTTCACCTGTAATTAGATGTCATTCAGTTGCTTCTAAAACAATCATTAAAATGTGGTAGAATTCACAGATCTTTGAGGTAAGATAAAAATAGATTTTCAGTCAACATTCTTTGATATTACAATATATGCTGGTTATCGTCACATATTCTAGTCATATCAAACAAACAGAACTGATATAGTAGTATGAGAAAGTCATGAACCAACTATTTGAAGGATAATCCTATAATTTCAGGAGTTCCACAAGGATCTGTTTTGATCAAATGTTATTCAAATTGTGTACATACGTGTGCGTGTCCAACCTGAAGACCGTATTCTGAAGCAACTTGTGATCCAAAGTTCTCATAATATCTTTGAATATGTCTTGTTGAACCTGCATTATAATAATCTTTGTTTAGAAACACATATGATCATGGCACACATGAGACGATTTATGTATTTATACAGAACTACATAACCTACTTAAAAAGCTTCTGAGCAACAGCCCGAAAGAATATATCAAACTAGAAAAGTTAAAATACTTTAACTCGCCTATATTGACTACAAAGTCCTCAGTACCATGGAGGAGGAATATTTTGGATCCGCGAAGGTTTGAGACTGGGTCTATATTGCCTTCAGAGGCGAATCTGAGTGTGTCCTCGATGAGGCCCTGTATGTTGATGTTCTCGGGGTTAAGTCCACAGTCGAATTGGTCGTGGTTCTCCGCACAGTTGTAGGGCACTGCATAATTTATATTGAAGAGGAGTCACGTTATTTGTGAACAATTAATTCAAACATCCTTCACTATTTTTATATCCTTAAACTACATCTCTGTAAATGATATAGGAAGGTGCTTTTGTAAACCATGGTGTGAAAGATCGAGAAGTGTTACATAGGCATGCTTTCTAGTTTGAAGGGAGTTCCATCCTAATTCTTCAAATATTTTGATAGCGTAGATATGCCCAAGAACATGAAATTACAGCATCACTTTGAATTTTTCAAGTATTTTTTTTCTTGTTAGAGTTGCAGTTATAATACACCACATTGTTCCACGCTGCTTAAGGATTTAAGCAGCCTTGGATACAGTGCATTGTGTGCTGAACCATTCCACGAAGATATGTTGTTTCCAAATATTTGTTTGACCCCGCAGGGGGAATGCAAAGTTTAGGAAACAACATCTTAGTGTTGAAGCAGCCACAATGCATTGTGTCTTGGGTTTAAATATGTTCCATAAAATCACCTAAAATATACACAATCACTAAAACGACATATTTACAACGAAACCTTTTGCAAGGGTCAAGTATTGAAGAACTCAATATCAATCTCAATCGATTAGCAACGGCACACAACAAATGCGTTATTGATATTTCACACACTGTTCATTATGTGAATACTCTGTTCGGATTGGCTGGAATCGGACACACCTTGCCTAGCTATGTGTGAATTTTCTATAATGAGTAGCCTTAAAGTGCCACATACGTATGTAGCAACGTGATAAAAAGGTCAGACTGATATTGTAAGATAAAGATGACGTCGACAAAGATTAGAGTAACAACAAAATTCCAACAGGGTCAAACAAGGCATTAACATGACAAAATGTCACCACCTAGTTGCTCACAATATTATGAGTTCAAACTTAAGTCAGATTTGAATTTCTGAGAACTTGTAAAGTCAAATTTGAACTTCTGAAAAGATGAAGATGATTTTGAAAAAAAAATTTGGTCAATTTGAAGCAAGTTGAAAACAGACCTTTTTGACCTTTTTTGACCTTGAGAAGGTCATTAAAGGTCAAATGTCAAATCTAAAGTCAGATTTGAATTTCTGAGAACATGTAGATGATTTTGAAAAAAAAAATTAGTCAATTTGAAGCAAGTTGAAAAAAGACCTTTTTGACCTTTTTTGACCTTGACAACGTCATTGAAGGTCTTAAGTCAAATCTAAAGTCAGATTTGAATTTCTGAGAACATGTAGATGATTTTGAAAAAAAATTTAGTCAATTTGAAGCAAGATGAAAAAATACCTTTTTGACCTTTTTTGACATTGAGAAGGTCATTGAAGGTCAAATGTCAAATCTAAAGTCAGATTTGAATTTCTGAGAACATGTAGATGATTTTGAAAAAAAAAATTAGTCAATTTGAAGCAAGTTGAAAAAAGACCTTTTTGACCTTTTTTGACCTTGACAAGGTCATTGAAGGTCAAATGTCAAATCTAAAGACATTATTGAATTTCTGAGAACATGTAGATGATTTTGAAAAAAAATTTAGTCAATTTGAAGCAAGATGAAAAAATACCTTTTTGACCTTTTTTGACATTGAGAAGGTCATTGAATGTCAAATGTCAAATCTAAAGTCAGATTTGAATTTCTGAGAACATGTAGATGATTTTGAAAAAAAAATTTAGTCAATTTGAAGCAAGTTGAAAAAAGACATTTTTGACCTTTTTTGACTTTGAGAAGGTCATTGAAGGTCAAATGTCAAATCTTAAGTCAAATCTAAAGTCAGATTTGAATTTCTGAGAACACGTAGATGATTTTGAAAATTTTTTTTAGTCAATTTGAAGCAAGTTGAAAACAGACCTTTTTGACCTTTTTTGACCTTGAGAAGGTCATTGAAGGTCAAATGTCAAATCTTAAGTCAAATCTTAAGTCAGATTTGAATTTCTGAGAACACGTAGATGATTTTGAAAAAAAAATTTAGTCAATTTGAAGCAAGTTGAAAACAGACCTTTTTGACCTTTTTTGGCCTTGAGAAGGTCATTGAAGGTCAAATGTCAAATCTAAAGTCAGATTTGAATTTCTGAGAACATGTAGATGATTTTGAAAAAAAAATTAGTCAATTTGAAGCAAGTTGAAAAAAGACCTTTTTGACCTTTTTTGACTTTGAGAAGGTCATTGAAGGTCAAATGTCAAATCTTAAGTCAAATCTAAAGTCAGATTTGAATTTCTGAGAACACGTAGATGATTTTGAAAATTTTTTTTAGTCAATTTGAAGCAAGTTGAAAACAGACCTTTTTGACCTTTTTGACCTTGAGAAGGTCATTGAAGGTCAAATGTCAAATCTTAAGTCAGATTTGAATTTCTGAGAACACGTAGATGATTTTGAAAAAAAAATTTAGTCAATTTGAAGCAAGTTATAAACAGACATTTTTGACCTTTTTTGACCTTGAGAAGGTCATTGAAGGTCAAATGTCAAATCTTAAGTCAAATCTTAACTCAGATTTGAATTTCTGAGAACACTTAGATGATTTTGAAAAAAAAATTTAGTCAATTTGAAGCAAGTTGAAAACAGACCTTTTTGACCTTTTTTGACCTTGAGAAGGTCATTGAAGGTCAAATGTCAAATCTAAAGTCAGATTTGAATTTCTGAGAACATGTAAATGATTTTGAAAAAAAAAATTAGTCAATTTGAAGCAAGTTGAAAAAAGACCTTTTTGACCTTTTTTGACCTTGACAAGGTCATTGAAGGTCAAATGTCAAATCTAAAGACATTATTGAATTTCTGAGAACATGTAGATGATTTTGAAAAAAAATTTAGTCAATTTGAAGCAAGATGAAAAAATACCTTTTTGACCTTTTTTGACATTGAGAAGGTCATTGAATGTCAAATGTCAAATCTAAAGTCAGATTTGAATTTCTGAGAACATGTAGATGATTTTGAAAAAAAAATTTAGTCAATTTGAAGCAAGTTGAAAAAAGACATTTTTGACCTTTTTTGACTTTGAGAAGGTCATTGAAGGTCAAATGTCAAATCTTAAGTCAAATCTAAAGTCAGATTTGAATTTCTGAGAACACGTAGATGATTTTGAAAATTTTTTTTAAGTCAATTTGAAGCAAGTTGAAAACAGACCTTTTAGACCTTTTTTGACCTTGAGAAGGTCATTGAAGGTCAAATGTCAAATCTTAAGTCAAATCTTAAGTCAGATTTGAATTTCTGAGAACACGTAGATGATTTTGAAAAAAAAATTTAGTCAATTTGAAGCAAGTTGAAAACAGACCTTTTTGACCTTTTTTGACCTTGAGAAGGTCATTGAAGGTCAAATGTCAAATCTTAAGTCAAATCTTAAGTCAGATTTGAATTTCTGAGAACACGTAGATGATTTTGAAAAAAAAATTTAGTCAATTTGAAGCAAGTTGAAAACAGACCTTTTTGACCTTTTTTGACCTTGAGAAGGTCATTGAAGGTCAAATGTCAAATCTAAAGTCAGATTTGAATTTCTGAGAACATGTAGATGATTTTGAAAAAAAAATTTAGTCAATTTGAAGCAAGTTGAAAAAAGACCTTTTTGACCTTTTTTGACTTTGAGAAGGTTATTGAAGGTCAAATGTCAAATCTTAAGTCAAATCTAAAGTCAGATTTGAATTTCTGAGAACACGTAGATGATTTTGAAAATTTTTTTAGTCAATTTGAAGCAAGTTGAAAACAGACCTTTTTGACCTTTTTTGACCTTGAGAAGGTCATTGAAGGTCAAATGTCAAATCTTAAGTCAGATTTGAATTTCTGAGAACACGTAGATGATTTTGAAAAAAAAATTTAGTCAATTTGAAGCAAGTTGAAAACAGACATTTTTGACCTTTTTTGACCTTGAGAAGGTCATTGAAGGTCAAATGTCAAATCTTAAGTCAAATCTTAACTCAGATTTGAATTTCTGAGAACACTTAGATGATTTTGAAAAAAAAATTTAGTCAATTTGAAGCAAGTTGAAAACAGACCTTTTCACCTTTTTTGACCTTGAGAAGGTCATTGAAGGTCAAATGTCAAATCTAAAGTCAGATTTGAAGGTCAAATGTCAAATCTTAAGTCAGATTTGAATTTCTGAGAACATGTAGATGATTAGTTTAGTCAATGTGAAGCAAGTTGAAAAAAGACCTTTTTGACCTTGAGAAGGTCATTGAAGGTCAAATGTCAAATCTAAAGTCAGATTTGAACTTCTGAGAACATGTAGATGATTTAGAAAAAAATTGAAGTCAGTCTAAACAGTATTTGTTAAGTTATAGGAAGTTGTAAGAAATTGTTACAGACGCCGGACGCCAACCGCCGGACGCCGGACGCCAACCACCAACCGCCGGACGCCGTCGCAAAAAAACGGAGACCATAACAATATGTCACCACTTTTGGTGGTGACATAACAAATGGTAATTGAGTGAATTAAAGGCGGAATCTGATCTATAGGGGGTGACAAAATTACAAGCAACATGTATAATTGACCTACCAATCTTTACCTAACAATATCAAATACAATATCTCCCAAAAGATTCACACTATGTTATAAATTGGTGAAGTTATTAATGATTCAAATGGATGCTCAATTGAAAAATGTACAGATATAGACGGCGCGCACTTCACAAGCACTGGCGATCCGCTCGATTACGCTGGTTACCGAAACGGTGGCTTCTAACCATGCAACATGTATACTGTACATTGCTACACATTGCTACACTGTGTCAAGCACCTATACATAGGCTGGAAAGCGGGGTAAACGGGGTACATATCCATACCTGTATACTCTACATTGCTACACTGTGAGGCAGCTTCTACACATACCATGGAGGTGGGGTAAGCGGGGTAAGCGGGGTGCATACCTTTACATGTATACTCTACATTGCTACACATTGCTACACTGTGTCAAGTACCTATACATAGGCTGGAAAGCGGGGTAAGCGGGGTACATACCTTTACATGTATTCTCTACATTGCTACACTGTGAGGCAGCTTCTACACATACCATGGAGGTGGGGTAAGCGG